AATTCATCAAGCTATGAATTTAGTACGAATGACATCCCACCCTTTTGTACCTCTTGTAAATCCCTAGCTAACCCCTCCTCTTTATGCCACTCAAATACCTAGTCACAGCTAGAAACTTATCCCTCTATTAGAGGTAGAAGCACCACTCATACTCACCATCCTTGCAAGAAGCACTCATCCCATCCCCCACCTTCCAATCATTCCTTTGGTCACTTCTTAATTCCAAAGTCCATTGATTCTACCTTTCCAACTGCTAATGCCTCTACCTCATATACCGCTCTCATCTTGTTACTTCATCACCCAACATCATCCCTCCCACCTTTTTTCCACCTCATGTCTCCATCAACTATCCTAATAAAGCCTTTTAAACATGCTGACACATGTCCTTCCATCAATGGATAAAGCTTCAAACTCAACAGACCACTCTCCACCCTTTATCACCTCATACAACCCCATCCAACCCATTTCTATGCCCCCACAAGATTCTAATATCTCTCTCCAAAACCTTAACTCTCCAATAGAGAACACCATTGTCCTCTGAACCCACCCCCTCTGAACTGATAATCCCATATGGAGTTCTCTTCCCAAATAAATATTAACTACTGCAACAAAAGCCTAGTGAATAACCACCTCTCTCTCGAGCTTCCTCAACTAAAAACTCTTTTAAATCCCCCCAGACCTCTATTAGAGAAAATTCTATCATTCACACTTCCAAAACTACCAGGGGTAAAACTTCTATAAAGCCCCCCACCCCCCTCTTCATCCAAATCCCAATGATAATCCCTTGCATCTCCACATGGAATATAAGGGGTTTTTGTTCCTCTGAAAAGGTTCTTTGTTGCTAGCGCTTGGTCCATTCTCATGGTCTTGATGTATTATGTTTTTTGGAAAATAGGATCCATATTGCTTCATTTTCTGACACTTATTTTTTTTAACTCTCATTAAGTGATTGGCAAGAAAAATAGTTATCATAACTTTGATTGCACAAATTCTATCAGAATTTAATTGAAATAGTCTTCTGATATTGTAAATTTCAATTCTATGTTCATCTCCTTCCAAATGATTTATAGTTCTATTGTATATGGCTAAAACCCCTAATTTTAGTTATTGTTAGTTTATGCTTCTAATAATAACGATGAAAGAAAGGATCTTTGGAGATGATTTTTGGTATGTTGCCCTTCCTCAAATACTCCTTGGATTGTAATGGAGGATTTTAATTGTTGTATGTACCCATCCGAAAAATTGGGTGGGAATATTATCGACCAGAATTAGCTCCATGACTTTAACACTTATATTTTTTTATACCAACCTAAAAGATTTTGCTTATATGGGTTTCCCTTATACTTGGTTCAATCAAAAAACTCATAACACTATATACATGCATTATCCTAAATTATGCCTTGATTAATATTGTTTAGTTAGAGAATTTCCCTACATCCCCATTATGTAGTTAAAAACCTTGTATTTTAATCACTTCCCTATTGTACTACAATTTAGGAAAAAAAATCTTTTCTAACTCCTTTACAAGACTTTTTGGGAAAAAACTGACCATTTTTTGAATGGTTCTCATTCTAATATTCTCGTCCCCACCCATTAGTCAACACCTTACAGATATTTGTAAAATGCTCAAATAACACAAATTAGCTATAAAAAAAATGAAGTGGGCTAAATCTAATGCGGTGGCTAAGAACCTTGTAGATCTATATCATAAATACTAAGAGTATCTTAATTTTTTGAGCTTGGACCACATGAATGTTAATTTTACCTCTCCACTCAATAATATTAATCTTCAAAATGCTAAATTCTCATCTTACTAGTCCTCTTAAATAGCACAGAGGATAAAAAAGAAATGGCTTATGCATGGAGATAATGATCTCAAATTTTTGTTCTCAGAATTATACATGAGAAGGAATTACAAGAAAATTAGTATCTCATCAGCCATGACTAGCTCCTCCTCCTCATATGGTGAAGCTGTTAAATCTTCCATAGATCATTTTCAGAACATTTTCAATTCCCCCCACCATCCTTCCTCTAATATTAAATCCTTCCCTCCTAGTGATGTCTTTCGCACTCACTTAGTAGATGCTCTCACTATGCCTTTTTTTGACAAAGAAATCAAACATGCAATTTTCTCTGGTTCTTATGATTCAACATATGGTTGTAATGGATTCAACTTTGAGTTCTATAAAACTACATGACATCTAACTATGGCTATGGTATGTAAATCAATTAAATCTTTCTACCATAACAGTCACATCCCTTTTGCAGCTAAGGTGACAACCCTTACTCTTATTTGCAAAGCAAACCATGTTAATGGTTTATCTGGTTTTAGAATAATTTCCTTAGTAACACTGCATATAAGATCATAGAAAAATTATTGGATGCTCTTCTAAACCTCATCATGTCATACATTGTTAAAGAAAGTTCAGCAGGTTTTATGTACTAGAGACAATCTAAGGATAATGCCATCTTTTCCAAAGAGTTATTTTTTCACTCCAAAATCTGTGCTAAACATAGATTGTTATGTGTAAAGCTAGATATAAAGAATTATTTTGATAGTGTATCTAAGGAGTTTTTTATTTCTAGGTTGGCTCATAAAAGATTTCTTAACACTTTCATATATTATATAAAAGCTTATATATGCGATGTTTTGTTTTCTTTATGCATTGATGGAACTTTAGAGGGTGCAAGCCTTGGGCAGGGTTGTCTGTTGAGTCCTTATTTATTCTGCATAATTATGGATGCATTTTTCCTGTCATGGATTTTCCATTTCATGTAGGAAAGTTTAGGGCTTTAGAAGTGGAAGGTTACTTGCTATCTCACATGATGTATGCTGATGAGCTTCTTATTTTTGGAAAAGCTAATGTATAAAACTATAGTAACTTGAACCAGATGCTTAACAACTTCACCTCCTCGTTGGGTCTCCAAGTTAACTTTGATAAGAGCTCTCTGATCCTTCCTCCTAACTACAACAATTCTATTCTTATCTACTTTTCCCTTAACATTCCTTCCTCTTCTTTCACCATCTATTACCTTGGCATTCCCATCTTCCCCTACAATCACAAGTTTGCCCACTTCTCCAAGCTCGGAAACTATTATGTATAAGCTCTCAGGTTTTCGAAAGCTATGGTCCTTTCTTTTATGAGCAAATTATAGTTCTTATGAATAACTATTTGGAATACTATAAAATACTGGATTCATAGTTCCATTTTATAGAAAACCATTATCAAGTAAATATGGAAAATCAATGTTAATTTTTTTTATACTTTTGGTGATACATATGCTAAACAATTACACCTTATCTCTTGGAAGAACACGTGCAAGCCTAAGTCTTTAGGAGGACTAGGTCTTCCATCCATCCAAGTAATTCAATTTAGTTTTAAATGTTCCCTCATAGATAGGCTATATAATAGACCCTGCACCCCCCCCCCCCCCCCCCCTAAGTGGCTTCTATATTGATGTACTTCTCCATGGATATCACCTCCTTCAAGTGCTTCCCCTTTTTTGAAACATATCTATATGATTGCTTCTAACTTTAAAGTATTTATTTCAAGTCCTATTTCTTTTTATTAGGATCATTTCTTCAATGAGAAAATATAGTCTGATGTTAATGATATGCAGTTTATTCTCAACTTTTTTTCCAAAATTGCTGGGATTTATGCCATTCTCAATGAATATGGTTAGGTTGTACATGCTGACGCAATTGGTATTCTTGCTGAAACACATTCCTTTATTCCCACTATCTCACCATCTCTTTTTTTTTTATAGGTATGGTAATCACAATTCATGGCATAATTTTGTTTGGCACAAACATTATAGGCTTCGTTTTTCCTCTTACAGTTAGATGGCCTTGGCTGGAGTCCTTAAGACCTCTGATTCCCTTCGTATGAGAGACATTCAGTGGACTCTTCGTGTTGCTTATGTCATTCTTCCCTTGAGAGTCCTGCACACATGTTCTTTGAGTACAACTTCTTTTTTTCTGTTATTACCCAATTGATACCAGTGATTAAATATCACCTGATCATATCAAATATACTATAAGTATTTGAAAGCATTCTTGACATGCAAATTGCTACCAAAAATAAAAAATATTTTTTCTACCTAATCACTTGCTGCTCGATATATCACCTGTAGAGAGACAAGAAAGATAGGAAGTTTGACAATAATCTCGCCTCACCAACAAAAATATGTCAGAAGCTTTGCCCTTGCAGATGGTGTCACGATTATGTTTTGAAGCTTTGCCCTTACAAGGATGAATGGATCACTATATCATTCCTCTTGGATCTTGTTGACTTTGTAAATGCAATTCTCTTTTATGATTTTTTTTTTTTTTTTTTTTTTTTTTTTTTTTTTGAGACCATTGGTCTTTAGCTTTTGCTTCAAGTTTACTATTTTGGTTTCTTGATGAGTATTTAATTTTTACACACGTTTTTGTGAGCCCTAGGCTCCATTTTTTTTTTACAGTTAGCTTTTCTCCCTTTGGATTCTATTTTTCCTACAATCTCAAAACGTATAACTGATTTCTTTTAATGGAAATAGGGCGATGTCTTCAATTTTTAACACAAAAAAAAACAGCCGCATAAAACTAATTGGAAACTACTGTCACCATTTTAGTTCCCCCAGTTTTGTACCCTAGTATTCTCCCTGGGTCCTACTCCACTGCTCGTGGCTGACGGTGCGCCAAATCAGCACTGAGTGCACCTGCTTCTAAATTCGTACCACGCGTCCCGATCATCTGTGAACGCTCCCAGCCTCAAATTATTAATTGAAACTACTGTCACCAATTTATTATGCCCAAATAGCAGACCCAATTATTCTCCAAGTCTTACTCCACGGCTTGTGGCTGACCGTTCGCCAAAACTACACCGGATGAGCACCCGCTACCAAATTAGTGCCACGTGTACGTTCAGAACCGATCATCCATGAACGCTCACTCCCAGCCTCTAATTATCGCGATCGAGTATCCACGTTTTTCCTCACCCTAAAAATGAAAAAAGTTTCGACATTTTTGCCTCCCCATTTCTCTGTTATTTTTATTTCGCTCAGTGGACTGCAATCCACAAGAAAATATAGTGGCTGAGATTTTTCCTGGAAGATCTATGAGAGAGAGAGAGAGAGAGAGAAATTGGCTTGAGTTCAGGACATTAATTTTTGGGGTTCGGATACTGAGCTGTTGATTTGGTGTTGTTTCGGTCTGGTGGAACTCAATGGCGGCATGCAGAATTTGATTATGTAAGTTAGGTTTGCTCTTTGTTCTGCTATGGATTTGTTTATTGAATTAGGGAGTCTAATGTTGGGATCTGTTTGGCAGTGATTGCTCGGCGTAATGAGGTACTTTCTTCAGCAAATTGATCGCTTAATCGGGGATATGGATGGGAGAGTGCTGCTCTTTGTTGAGGATTTGAATGCTAAATGATTTAGAACTGCAAGTTATTTTGCTGATTTCGTCAGTTTAGAAATTGATTTTCGCGGATGGAGATAAACTCGTCCGGAGAAGAGCTGGTTGTGAAGGTGAGCTGGAAGTAGATTGTTGTAGGAATATGTTCTGTTTCGATTGTGTATGTATCATTGGGGGTTTGGTTGCAGACCAGAAAGCCTTATAAGATCACAAAACAGCGGGAGAGGTGGACTGAAGAAGAGCATAACAGGTTCCTTGAAGCCTTGAAATTGTATGGTCGGGCCTGGCCGCGTATAGAAGGTATGCTTTTTTTAATTGTTCACACTTTTCAAACCAATCATTGCATCATGTTTCTTGGTTGTGAGAGAACGGTATAAGAAATGGTTGTTATTCTTAACAAGATTAGTCTTGTTGAGAAGTTGCTCATGATTGGGAATCATTTGAACATTGCAGAGCATATTGGGACGAAGACAGCTGTTCAAATCAGAAGCCATGCTCAAAAATTTTTCACAAAGGTGAACTATTTTTTCCATCTTATTTCAGCATTCATTATTGCCTGATTTGCTCAGCTTACATGCAACAGTAGGGTAACTCAGGAAATTGAATTGTTATATCTTGCCATAAATTTTACAAATTTCCAGCTTTATTAATTTTGTTACACTCGTGCATTATGTTATTCAATAATGCTTTTCCACTGCATGGAATCCTATCATGGATCTGCTGAACACCTAACTCTTTGTTGAAGTATATGCTCCTGATTATACTTTTTATTTTTTTGTGAAGTATGTTCATTTAACCCAATTCTAAAGTCTGGCATTACAATTTTTCTATGATATTTAACTAACTTCTACATATCTTATTATGTTGCATTTATTAGATTTATCTTGACATTTAATTAGAAAGTATCTATATGGTTGTAGAATTAAGTGGTGGCTTGATTTGCTTTTCTCTATATTTTCACATTATAATTAACGATGATTCTCACATATTGACATGTTATTCTTACCACCTCAATAACTTCTTTTAAGATCTTAAGTTTGATCCTCTTATAATTATCATAATCCCAAACATATGATTTGTTCTTATATACAACTCCCATCTTGAAGTTAAGAATGATAATATGAGATTTTGACTTCTTGCCAAGTCAAAGCCACTAACTTAAACCATATTACAATTGTTTGAGACCTTCTTATGTTGCATCACATCAACTCTATTTCCTCACTTTAAGGATGCATCATCTGCTCTATATTATTTAAGCCAAAATCACATAAGTGTAATTATTATAGCTATATGTTCATTAAGTGCTGCTGCCACACTGTTATCGTCATCATTAATCATTTTATTTTTTCTATTTGGTGCCATCTTTAGGAATTTTTCTCTTCCATTAATTTCTATTGGATGCTTCATGAGGTATCAACTTTACATTGGCCAAAATCTCTAGCCGTCATATCATAGATCTACTATTTGTCATCAAAATACTCGGCATCATTCTAATTACTTGCATTATTGGTTCATTTTCTATCCTCTTTTATCCTGACTAAAACTCCCTTATTTATTTTCTAGTATCGTATCTTCAATGGATGGTACTCTCCGACTACCCATTGTATGATTATTAAACTTCATTTTTTTCTAATTTCATCAACTTATCCATGTGAACAATTTTGTGTTCTTTTGACAATATGGTTCATTGTTGATGCCTTATTATTGTGAAACATTTAAATCCAGATAGCATAGCTTGTTTTTACCATTCCAAAAAAATTACTCCCTGATACTCTAGAGATATTATTTCTTATTTTTATTTCAAAATGATCTTAAAGTATTGCCTTTTTCTTTTTAAAGTGTAAGTTAATGCTCATCTATGGTTATCTTTTGTTTATCAAAGGTATTTGAATAACACAATATAGTATGATATGATCTTCCACTATTATTGATCCAATGTTTTTCACTCCTTTAAAACCACACATAACGTATTTGGTTTTATTTTGGTGTACCTAAAGTCTTTTCTATGAATTTCTCCATCATTATAGTTTTTATTTGCTTTGGAAAAACTCTTACATGATGATTTTTAAGTGTGTAAATTTAATATATCAAAATAACTTATTAATGGGTTTTTGGTTGGTTCAATATTTTCTTTGATGTAATGTTAAATTATTTATTATAAGAGATGTTTGGTTTTATGTTATCTCTCACATTGAGGTACTTTGAACAGTATTAATAACCAATATTGACGAAATCTAAAAACTGTTTAAATTAAATGTTATTTAGGTTACCTCAATTTAATGACTTAAAATAAAACAATAAAAAAACAAAAGGAAAGAAAGACAGAAGTATCTTAATCTCATGATTTATTTTAAGTAGCATTGTATTATTTAAATAAGATAATGTTAAACATAAAATTACATTTAAAAGACAGCACTCCAATTTAAAAAGATTTTTTATTTATATAATAGTATTATCTAAATGCAATAATGTTATACCAAACACATTACATTTGAGAGATGACTTTGTAATTTAAATAGCATTTTTTTAGATGATAGTATTATGTAAATTACATTGAACAAAATAAACCCTAAGAGTTTTCGTTCCATCCCTATCTATGAGCAACCTAAAGAATTGAATTCAATGTAAATCTTCAATATAATACTCTTAGATTATCAACTTTTTTTCCACTCTCTGATGGTAGCTTTTGTACCAATGTGTCAAAACTCAAAATCTCACTATAGGGTTGTTTGGATATAGGATTTATGAAGGATTTGAGCAAGATTTATGTTAAAACCTGGCAAACAGGATTTAGGGAATTGTTAAATCTAAC